CATCTTAAGGAGAAACGTATTTAGATCAACAGCTTTCTCTTCCTCTGAAACATCAGAGTGTCAGAAGGAAATGTCTCTTTTTGAAGGTCAAACACTGGCTGTAGTTGATACTCCAGGTCTGTATGAAACTAAACTAACTGAAGAGGAGGTGAAGAGAGAGATTGTTAGATGCATGTCCTTTGCTTCTCCTGGTCCTCATGTGTTCCTGGTTGTGATCCAACCAAACAGATTCACCAAAGAAGAACAAAAAACTGTGAAAATCATCCAGAAGATATTTGGTGATCAAGCGGCTGATTACACGATGGCCTTGGTAATCCATGAAGATGATGTGAATAAAGACACCATAGAAGAAGCAATCAAACATCCAGATCTCAGTGACTTTATCAGTCAGTGCCGTGGAGGATATCATCTTTTTAACAGCAGAAACAAGGATCGCTCTGAGGTCAGAGAGCTGCTGAAGAAGATCAACACAATGACTAAGAGAGGATGCTGCTACACCACCAAAATGTTTGAAGAGGCAGAGAAAGCCATTAAAACAGAGCTGGAACGACTTCAGAAAGAAAATCCAGAGATGACGGCTAAAGAAGCAAGATACAAAGCAGAAAGAAAGAACAAGTTTACTCAGGAGAATTGGAATGTGTCTATTACTGGAGCAGCTGCTAAGGTTAGTCGTGGAGTTGAAGCTATACTTCAAAGAGCACATGTTACAAGAGCTAGAGGTGCAGCAGGAGCTGTTGGAGTTGCAGCGGGAGTTGCAGTGGGAGTTGGAGCGGGAGTTGCAGCGGGAGTTGGAGCGGGAGTTGGAGCGGGAGTTGCGGTAGTTGCAGTTGGAGCTGCAGCGGTGGATTTTGGAGTAAAAGCTGCAACTTTGAAATGGAAATTGTGGGATTGTGTTACACAGTAACATTCAGTAAAAACATTTGTCAGCAGCTGGTAAATCAGAAAATTTATAAACATAATAACAATAATAGTGTGGAGTTCAGTATTTTCTGATAAAGTGAAATATAAGATATGATACCCAAAGAAGAAAGAAACAGTTTCTTTGGGACAGCATGAATGTTTTTGTTCTATAGTAATTTTGATCATTTAGCAGTAACATATTAAGGACAAATTATCATAAAGAAGGAAGAAAATAATCACAACATAGCATTATTGTATTTGTAATTCTTATTGTTATTAATTGTTTTTTATATGAAATATAATCTTTAATAACATCATAGTGTGTATTAGTGAACTGAATAGGAACATGTTAATCATTACTGATTATTAGTTTACTTGTAATCATTGAATTCCATAAGTCTGCCACGTAATGTACGATGTGTTTTGAAGCTGTGGTCTCATGTTTGCTTTGATCTTTCAAATGATGTATCATGAATAAAACAGATTAAATTTATTCATGAAGGTTGTTTTTCTTGTTGTCTTTTCTTGCGTGAACCAGTTACTCATGAAGAAGATTCACTGAGATGTTTGAGCGGATCAAATTATGACATTAAAGAACAGCAGTCAAGTTTCAACCAAAGTAGAAATATTTCTTTCAGCTCTTAATACTAAGTGTGTGATCATGTCTGCTGAGTAATTTGAAATGGGAAATATGGATAAACCTTTTTGAATGATCTCTCGCTGCCAAAATCAGCTCAAAAGTAATAAAGTGATTAGAAAAAATTTAACGATGTCTGTGTCAAAGAAGAAACGTATTTTAATATGAGCTAGAAAAAGAAGTAAGTAGAGTGCAAACTAAGGACAACCTGCAGGGGTGTCGAGCTCCAGGCTTTGAGGGCTGGTGTCCTGCAGGTTTTAGATCTCACCCTGGGGCAACACGCCTGAATCAAATTATTAGTTCATTACCAGGCCTCTGGAGATATGTTGAGGAAGTAATTTAGACATATAAATTAGCTCTGATGGATCAAGTACACATCTAAAACCTGCAGGACACTGGCCCTCGAGGCCTGGAGTTTGACACCTGTGACTGATCATAACTATATATCAAGCTGTTTATCAGGAGGGTCTTATTTTCATAGTGACTGTGGCCTGGAGCAGAGAGGGAATAGTGGGAGTATGTACATAAATTCTTCAAAGAACCTCCAGTAGATCAGAAAGTTTGAACCCAGAACCTTCTTGCTGTAGTGTAACAAGGTAAACCACTAGACCACCTCAGTGTTACTGTGTCACTCGATTTTAACTCTAACCAATTATTGTAAAACACTGCCACCTTGTGGTAAAATCAGAAATACAATTTAACGAATGCTGATCATGAATGGCACCTTTAGGAGTAAATAAATCAGAGAGACGTTTCCTCTTAAAAGTGTGCACAGTTGAGTGTGTGCTTCATTAAAGAACCTGAATAAAAGACTGAAAGCAGTGAAGGATTCAACATTCACAATTAAAAACTAGTCTTACATTTTATTTTCACAGCCTGAGAAACAAAAGGTGATGCATAAACTGAAATTTTAACAAGGTGCAAAAGTTAAACCAAAAAGCAGGCTCAACGCCGTTTTGGGAATTAGGGGAAGTTCTGCATGTGCACACTAGTTTGCAATAAGCAAATGTTGTTATATTTTCATGTTTTAGATAAAACAGAACATATTATTGTGTGAACTCTCACCAAAGCAAGTCTTTTAAATTCCAGAAGAAAAAAAACCTCTTTGTGTTCTGTGAAATATTAATAATGGATTGATTGCTTGCTGCTCCTGGTTTTCTTTTGTTACTCGTTCAGATTCACCAAGAAGAACCAAAAAACTATGATAAAAAAGATATGAAGATAATATGAGGGCGTATGTAATAGAAGAAATAAACACCCATATCTCAGTGATAGTATCAGTCAGTGTGATAGAGGAACAAGAAGAGAAAAGAAACAAGAATTGCTCTATCAACAATGACAGAGCAGTAAGTGGGGCTGGCATCTAAACACTCAGTGTGAGGGCTGAGTGAAGGATTTTAGGTAAGAGCCAAGTTTGGTTCTTTAAAATTACAGCCTTTGTAACAGAGGTATTTTTTACAGGCTGTTGTCCTTTACCTGCTGAATTAGGAGTGTAGTCCATCTCCTTCAATCTGTAGTTTCAACACAGCGGACAGCTCTTTTCATTTCCTGACTCAACAGTTCTCCCACCCACCTCTTTTTCAGATTAGGAAAAAGAGAGAGAAAAATACAAAGAGTAAGAACAACTTTGAAAAGTATGTCTATTATAAGTATAAGAATCAAGAAAATGCAATTAACCCACGACAGCAGTCAAAGTGATGTTTTCTTTTGCAAATCATTAAATCTAAACATAGTTTTAATTGAATATGAGAAAATATTTTTTGTGACATTATGTTCTAAGTTGAAACCATTGTATAGGTTTTTGTTGTTCAAATTTAGATGATGAGGAAATTATTAAGATGTAAACATAAGGGGGTACTGCTAAATAAGTATATACTCCTGCCTTTTCAAACAACTGCCTGGAATGAAATGTTGGTGAATGTATATGTATGAAACAAAAAATGAACTGAACTAAATATCTATAAACATGACAAGCATACCAGTAAAAAGCACAAGAACTCTAATGCCACAGAAAATAGTTAATCTGGTGGTTTAGCTGCATGTTGGAGCTCTGAAACCTAGCGTTTAATCGATTTAAACATCAAAGCTACCTGTCTCACATCCTGATACAGGAGACGTGGGAATCACTTCAGTCTGTCTACAGATCAAAGTTGATTGAACAGGTGTTCCTGGTGTGTGTTCGCTGTTCAAACAGGGGGAGGAGAATAGGAGGAGAATAAAATTTAATACATTTTCCAAATCACCTCATTAATACACACACAGGTCGGTACAGTGCGTGTCCTGGTTCAGCTCATATAATAAGGTGACTAACCTCGTATTTTGGATGGATCAGTTGTTCTCCTGGCTGAAGTTTGGTCCTTTTACAGCATCCTGCCATGCGATTAC